AAGGATATTTTTGATGATGATTTAATAGACTGATTTGGGGAGGTAATACCCAATGTTCCTGAATTTCCTGAGTCTCCGCTGGTTCCATCCCGCTCTCCTGAATCTCCTACGTCTCCTGAGTCTCCAGTGGTTCCGCCCAGCTCATGTTTTCCTGTTATCTCCCAGCCTTCCCTCTCCCGCCTCCTCTTCTAGAACCAGTCAGCTCCTAAGCCATGCCTTCGCTGCTCCTGTCAGTCCCTCAGCTCATCCTCAGTCTGCTCCATCCTGTTGTGTGTATCCACCTCAGGCCTTCCAGTTACCAGCTCCACATAGACATGAAGATCCCCTGTCTCCGCCTCCGAGTCAAAGACTCCACCTCGGCCCTCTGACCCATCGGCTCTGAAATTGGCTCCTTGCTCCCTCGTCTCCACCGTGGCCCGTCAACCCACTAGCTCCACCGGGCTCCCTCATCCCTCTGGCTCCTCCTTGGTCAGTCGTCAACCTTCCTCTGCTATGGGATCCCACTCCCGCTTTGCCTCGTCCCTCCATCCCTCAGGTTCCATCTGGCTCCTTCTTCATTCCGGCTCCACTGTTGTCCTCAGTTGCTCCGGATCTGCCGCAGTCTTGCAGGTTCCCATCTCCGCCTTGCTCGCATGAGCCGTCAGCTCCACCTTGGCCCTCGTGTGTCACCCTGTCTCTCCATGTTCGCTGCTCCACCTGGGTCTCAATCTCCAGTGGCTCAGTCTCTATCGCTCGTCCACAGGGTGTCATCTGCCAATTCAACACTGTGGCTCTTCCCTCGACTCAGCCCTGGGGCCTCGTCCTGGCTGGTCTCCTGACCAACATCTGGCTCCTCCTGCTCCTGGATCCTCATTGACTCCATGGATTTATTATGTAGACTTATTTTGGTTTTGCCTCTCTCCTGATATTATGCCACGTTACTTAACAAATAAACTACATTTTAAAATATGTTCAAATAGAAAAGTTATTTTAAATTGTAATAATTTTTCACAATATTACAGTTGTTGTGTTTTTTTTTTAAATAAAATAAATGCAGCCTTGGTATGTAGAAGAAACTTAAAAATATATATATTGCTCCCTTAAACACCTTCAGTGTAGTTAGCAACTTTTGGTTAGTAACTTAAAGTAGCTTTAGTATAGTTTAACTAGTAAGTAATTTGTAGTCTAGTTACAGTTTTGTTAACACAGTCAGTATGCAAATATTCCATCCCCAGTATTTGGTTGGATTAATAATTAAAGAAATCGAGACAGTACAGGGTGTTGTGTGTGTATCCGTCTTTCACGTGGGTGTGTGTGTGTGTGTGTGTGTGTGTGTGTGTGTGTGCATGTGCGACCCTTCACGTCTGTTTAATATCTCTCTCGTTGCTTATCTCTATTGAGCTCTTAAAAAGCCATTTGAAGATGAATACATCCGCTCTAATGTGACTTGTGATCTTGATAAGATACAAGAGATAAGTTTTCATAAAGAGACGACAGCAGAGGCCGAGCAATTAGTCCAAATGGAAAGTTTCCAGAAAGCAGCAGATGCAGGCTGATACGAGCCGGTCCTCAGATGTCCTCTTTTCTTTTGCATTTGGAAAATACAAACAGCCAGTAGTTTTTATCTTTATCTGTGAGAAAGCCATCTGTCCAAACCTCTCGTGTCACTGTGTTCATTATGATTTAACAGCACTGATTAAACAAGTGTTTGGATACACTCAAAGACATCCACAATAATGAAATAGTGCAATTAGTGCCTGTGTTTGTGCAGCAGACATGAATGATTGCACAAATCATGTGTTTTGTTGAGGAGAGGTGTGCAGGTGCTTAAAGTGATCAAACATGAATGAGATGTTTATTTATTTTATTATTTTTTTTATTATATATTAATATTTTCATTCAGCAAGAATGCATTAAATGTATTAAATGTGATCGTAAGAACATTTATAATGTAAAAAACTAAAGTTTCCACAAAAATATGAAGCAGCACAACATTGTTTTTAACAAGGATAATAATATAAACTGTTTCTTGAGCAGCAAGTACAATTTTGTACCTTTTTGTTCAAATAAATGCAGCCTTGTAGAGCATAGGAGACTTCAAAAAAAAAAAAAAAAAAACATAAATAAAAAAAATAAAAAAATAAAAACAGTTATTTTAAATTGAAATAATATTTCACAATACTACTTTTTTACTGTATGTAAAAAGTAAAATGTTTGTATATTTTTGGTAAAATAAAAACAGCCTTCTTGAGCATAAGAGATGTATTTAAAAACATAAAAAACATAATACATATAAAAATAAATAAAATATAAATAAAAAACAGGTGTTTTAAACTGCAATAATCTTTCATAATATTACTGTTTTTTTTACTCTTTGTACACAGCCTTTGTGCAGCCTTTTGAGAGCTTATGAGACTTTTAAAAAATAATTTTTTAATATATCACCGACCATAAACTTGAACAGAAGTAAGTCCGAACATACCTCAAAATCTAAGTATAAATTGAGGATAAAATGGGGGAAAAAAAGGAAAGAAAAAGAAAAAAACAAAAAACAAAACATGAACACTGACACAGATGCTAGGATAGGTGTGGTACGTGTTGGGTATGTGTCATTATTACATTATTATTATTACTATTGTTATTACATCATTATTATTATTATTATTATTGTTGCTTTTATTATTATTGATATCACTGTTGCCGTCATCACAAGGTATTATTGTTATCATCACCATCTTTAGTATTATTATTATTATTATTATTATTATTATGCATGTTAGTACTACTTAATACTACTACTAATATTCAGATTGTCATTGCTGTTTATTTTCATTGCTGTTATTATCATTGCTGTTCTATTGCTGTTTTTGTGTTTTGTGTTCACCGTATGTTGTATATTTTGCACTCTTAATAAAAAAATACAAAATAACAAAATCTAAGTATAAATAATACACATATATAATGCAAATTATTGTAGAAAAGAAAATAATAATTATTGTTTCAGTAGCTTTTGATTGTTTCAGTTGTTTCTCCTAGCTGGCAATGATATGAAATGAAGCTCAAATGTAGAGCATTATACTTGCAACACCAAGGGTGTGGGTTTGATTATCTGGTAACACATACTAATTAATATAATCATTAAACGTTTAGCTCGGAAGAAAGTATTTGCAAAATGCATAAGCATAAATATAGACTCCTGAGGAAAAATGACCAAAGTGCAGATTTCACTAAAGTCTCAAATTATGCTCAGATCCCAAAGTCTGCAATCAAACAACAATATCAATATGATATAGTCAGATTGTCCCATGATTAAATGATCTGATCTGCTCTGCTATCCTTAACTCAGAACACGAAACTCTCAACGGAAAAGAAAATAAACTAAAGTAAAGAAATAGAAGTAAAGTTTGACGAGACTAGGTGGCGTTTCTCCTCATGGTTTTGGAGGAGCTGGTGTGTAAGCCAGAGCACGCTCAAAGAGCGCAAAAAGCAATGACTGAAAAGCCCGGCTAGAAAAAAGCTATGACTAAAAAGCCACATGGCTAAAAGTGATGACTTGAAAGCACATAACTAAAAGCGAAAAACTAAAAGCTAGACGCAAAAAGCAGCATCGTGTCTTGGGTCTTTCTGTGGAATTTGGCTCCTCGTGTTTCAACCATGTTCTTGATCGAATCTTAAATTGTCTGATTCAGTCTGATACCCTACATATCTGTAGGGTAAAGCGGCTCTTCTGGCCCTGAGTAATGAATATGTTGTTTTACATCATCAACAGCCTCCATCAGTGTGATGAGAAGGTAATTACTGTTATTTTGTCAGGTGTTTTTCAATGGGGGCAATGCAAGCAGCGTCTAGATCAATCTACTTTAATGAAACGTTTGATTATATAGCCAGATGACCAAAGGATACAACTAATTAGCCTTTTCAATATAAAACTAAAAATAAATTTTTAAAGGGTTGTAGAGCTTCCTAAGAAATACTTATCTGAAATCTATTGCTTGAATTTCTCATTTAAAGAGTGAATAAGAACGATTGAAATTCATATTTTACCAGTGTTTATTGATTTATTTTGTCACTATTTGGTTATTTCCATTAATTAAAAAAATATATTTTGTCAATATTCATTCATATATTTTGTTGCTATTTGGGGATTTCAGTTCACTTAAAACTAAATATTTTCTCAGTATGTATTGATTTATTTTGTCACTATTCAATGATTTCAGTTCATTTAAAATGACTATTTTGTCAGTATTTACTGATTTAATTTGTCACTATTTGAAGTTATTTTGTCACTGTTCTGTGATTTTAAAGAAGAAAGCGAGTCATACGGGTTGGTAAATGACATAATTTTATTTTTTCTTTGAACTATTCCTTTAATGTTTTGAGTAGATTTTCATGGAAAATGAAAATGACAAGCCACATTAAAATAATTTTCCAAATCCAAATGTCCTCCGTTTGAGGACAAACAATCAGCAAGTGTCTGTTAAAAATAATCAGCACCTCGGGTCATGAACACTTGAACTGCAAAATGTAGTCTTGAAAGACAAGCTGGTATGTATCCGTCTGAGCAGACGCTGCCGGCGGTGTCTTCAATAAATCTTCGCCTGCGGCTGATAAAGTTAAAGCAAGACGCTAATTTGAGTACCATATGCTCGACTGGCAGTATTGCAGAAGCTGCTGTCTGCATCACATAATTTGATATCCACTCCATTTGAGAACAAGTTGAGAATATGGTCTTGGGAGAGTCCCACTGGCATAAGCCTGCTTTTTGTTTTGTCATTTGAAACATGGACTGAGAATATTTTTTTACACTTAATATGTGGTTAAACTTAAATGAAAAACAAAATAAAGTAAAATAAAATAATAATAATAATAATATTATTATTATTATTATTATTATTATTATTATTATTATACATTGTGTACATTGTATTATTATGATTATATGTGTATTATATGTGTATATTTGTGTGTGTGTGTGTGTGTGTGTTGTTTCTGTACCACAGTATCTATAATTATTTTGATTTATGTTTCTCTCTTTTTCAGAATTCTTTCTGGAGTTGCTGGACAACTCAGAAAAGTCACTGAACGACATGTTTGTGCGCACATACGGCAAACTGTACACGCACAACTCGGAGATGTTTGAGGACCTGTTCTCCGAGCTCAAGCGTTACTACACCGGCGGAAACGTTAACCTGGAGGAAGTGCTGAATGACTTCTGGTCGAGACTTCTGGAGCGCATGTTTCAGCTGCTGAACTCTCAGTACACCTTCACTGATGACTATCTGGAGTGTATCAGCAAATACACCGACCAGTTAAAGCCCTTTGGAGATGTTCCGCGCAAGCTCAAGGCTCAGGTCACCAAGGCCTTCATTGCGGCACGCTCAGGCATCTATTTTTCCACAAGTCTTCCTGTTCGTACTCAGCTTTCACTGGACGTCTAGACAGGTCAGTGGCCTTCATCGTCTGTCGATGAAATAGACCTTTTACTGTGCAAGAGATCTGGAGAAAACATTGGTGAAGCAGAGAAAAACGCTTTGCTGTGATTTTTTTTTATTTTATTTTATTATTTTTATAACACAAGTCTTCCTGTTCGTACTCAGCTTTCACTGGACGTCTAGACAGGTCAGTGGCCTTCATCGTCTGTCGATGAAATAGACCTTTTACTGTGCAAGAGATCTGGAGAAAACATTGGTGAAGCAGAGAAAAACGCTTTGCTGTGATTTTTTTTTATTTTATTTTATTATTTTTATAATTTTCAAACTATAACGTTGATATATACCATGGTGCATTTGACATATGCATTGATTATTATAATTATTATTAATAATAGTAATATATAATATTAATAAGTAATATTAGTAATATATATTTAAAATCTAAAATAGTCTGGGATAGTTTTGTGTCAACATGTATAATTTTTATTATTGTTATTATTATTATTATTATTATTATTATACTATTATTATTAATATGAATACTACTACTAATAATAATAATAATAATAATAATAATAATTGTTATGTTAATAATAGTTAGTTGTTAATAATAATTTTAACTATATATTTTATATATGTTGTTATTACTATTATTATTATTATCATCAATAATGGTAATATATCATATTAATAGTAATATATGTTTTTATATTTTGTGTTTTTGTGTAAACATGTATACTGATTATTATTATTATTATTAGTGCTTTTTGGCCAATCAAAACTTATAAATACATAATACATGATACATAATACATAAACACATGTATTTTGTAGAAGCCATTGTTTTGTATGTATTTTTCTGACGTCCACTAGGTTGCATGTTTACATGAGTGTTAATGCATCTTAACACCACAGAAGCCTCCTTGCGTTTTGACGGTGGCATGCTGGACAGGTTATGACATCCGTGATGATACCCTGCCGAGCCATGGACATTTTCTGAAGGGAAGATAAAAGCAATCGGCTGGCAGCCGCAGCGGGCATCTCTGCTCCATCGCTCAGATCTGGCTTTGATAGCTCGTCTCAGTCACATTTTCTGCTGGATGTTTATGCTGTTTAATGGCTTACTGGATGATTAGAAGAATTATTGACAGATTTCCTACTGAAAAAGCCCAGAGAATGTAGTGAGGCAGCCAGGTCTGCTCAGTTTTAGAGCTTTTGTACTTACTATGTAGATAAGCTGCTTTTGTATTTGTGTCATCCGTGATGCCAAAAGTAGTGAGGAAGTGGCTGTTGTTTTAGTGCATGATAATGACTTCCGTGACATCCAACATGTCGATCACATCTGGTTCAGAGATCAACTTAAAGGGTCAAGGGCAAAGCAATATAGCAAATCATATGTGTGTGTGTGTGTGTGTGTGTGTTTAACAAAAAAGAAAGGCATAATAATATTTCGGTCTGCTCAGTTTTAGAGCTTTTGTACTTACTATGTAGATAAGCTGCTTTTGTATTTGTGTCATCCGTGATGCCAAAAGTAGTGAGGAAGTGGCTGTTGTTTTAGTGCATGATAATGACTTCCGTGACATCCAACATGTCGATCACATCTGGTTCAGAGATCAACTTAAAGGGTCAAGGGCAAAGCAATATAGCAAATCATATGTGTGTGTGTGTGTGTTTAACAAAAAAGAAAGGCATAATAATATTTCATTATTTTTACAATAATTACTGAAATTTGAATTTTATATAATATATTACTGATTATACGTGCCTGTATCTGATTTGCGACAGCTGTTTTAACACAACTTAAAAGACAACAGGTCCAAATAAATGTTTGAATTTGTGTTTTTGTAACTTTGACTTTGAGTTCACTTAAGTGTGATTGAAAGCATGAGTGGGATTATTCTTAGCCAATCAGTCTGTATTGTCTCTAATGGCATGTCTGTCCAATCTGGAGCAGTAGGAAGAGCAAATACATTTCTTCAGTAATAACATATAATTGTCATTAGGAGAATTGTTCTTGAGAAATGCTTACTGAGACTGCGGAGGATTCTTTAAATAAAGAGTCTATAATTACTCTGTTGGACTCTGCAAATGTCTGCTATTAACAAAATGTATTTTAGCCGAAAGTTAATTTGCACCAACATTGCACTAATGTAACTTTAAATGTTTTATCACACGAAGATTGTGTATAAAGTAGGCAAAACTATTGATACAATATGCCCCCCCTCCCCCTCTTTTTAGTAAACTACAAAAACCCAAATATTAAAATTTGTAATTTGTAACATTTTATTTAAAATGTCTCAAAATGTACAGTTTGTTGAGGACGGATTTGCTGATAATTTTCTAAGAGATTGAACAAAACTCCCAAGCAACCATGTAGCAACACCCTTGCAACCACAATTCTTGCTTTATGAGTTTTGCACAGTAAATCACAACTCAATAGTAAAGGTGAACAGCATCTTGACCATATACAGAGAACTGTTGGGCTCTGTTAATACAGCCACTTTTCATCAACTCTAATGATCTTTGTATATATAATGCATATTGCACATACAGCACCAATGCTAATATCAAAGTGGAGTGAAGAAAAGCAAAGAGAAAAAAAAAAAACTTTTACACAAACATGCCATGAATATGTGCATTCCTGTCAAATTGAAAAGTTAAATACTCTATGCATGGACTTAGAGTCAGGGTTATGCATGGGTTAAGGGTGGGATTTACTGTTGTTGTTGTTGTTGTTGTTGTTATTGTTATTATTGTTTATTTTCTTCTGATTGTTATTTTTTGTGTAATGATTATTGAGTTTAACGCTAATTGATATTGATTGTTTCTTGATTTTTTAATTTAAAAAGCATGATTTAAATAATGAGATATGTTGCAAATTGTGATTGTAGTGAACCAAAAAGCAGAATAAGTCATAAATAAGATATTGCATTAAATAATAATAATAATAATAATAATAATAATGCACGTACATATACATTTACATATAAATTATATTTTAATAATAATTAAATTATTATTTATTTATTTTGTTTTAATTAAAATTGTTGTGGTATTCACTTTTTTTAATAACAGGAAACTTATCTATTTTAATATGTATCCTAAATATGTAATATACACTATATTTCTGAGCCTGGTAAAATACTCTCTAGGTCTAGAGAGTATTCTGATTCCCTGATTCCCTGGTTTACTCTTGTAGTAAACCAGAAAGCAGAATTTTTTTTTAAAGAATTTTAAGTCCTTCATTTTCACAGACAGTGCCAAGAAGCGAAGCTTTCTGAATGATGTCATAATTTAGAAATCCATTTATCTGCTAGTGCTTCAGAAAAAGCCCTTTTTTATTATTATTATACTGATACCAAAAACCGATAATACACTTGTCTTAAATGCTTTATAGCTCTAAGTAAATTAAATGGTGTTCAATGAAATAAGTTTGCAACAAATATTAAGGTACAAGGTTTATGATGTGTATTTTTACAGATAACAAAATGTTGCTGGATCACAGGCGCACACGTGAGTCTCTCTGCGCTGTACATCATACAGGCATCACTAATGGCTGTGTTTTGATTCAGTTTGCTGTGTGCTAATGGAGCGGGGCTGTTTTCAGAGGACTCTGACCTGTTCGGGGCAGTGATGTCACTGACCTGATGTAGGAAACCCGAAGAGGAACATGCTAAAATGTTGTTTACATGCAAGAATGTGCTCATATATCCAGCCTGATGCTGTCATCATGTTGATATTTTATATGTAGCCCCCGTTTTTCTATGAAAAAACGATGCTTATGCTTTGCTACTACTTTGAAGAACTCAATGCTCCTGCTACTCATAATACTAATGGTTTGTCATCAGATAGATTTCATTTTGCAATTGGATTTTTTAAATTGTGCCTATAAACAGAAACATAAGGAGATAAATTAAAGGTTACACTTTAACTTTAATAAATAAGTCAATGTAAACATTATACATTACATAAAAGATTAAAAGTTCATGTACATTCGAATATTAACATCTATGAAAACAGGGTTTATTTTATTTCTTTGAACTAGGGCTGCACGATTAATCGCATGCGATAAAGATGCGCGTTAAATATCGCATGCGATTAATCGTGCAGCCCTACTTTGAACTATAATTTAAGTTATCTTGTAATAATATGATATTGTCACAGACCAAGCTGGAGACAACAGGCAAGTTAATGAATAGCAGGTTTATTGATAAAAATGGCTGAGGCAGATCGAATGGAGCAATGACTAGTGAGTATCCAACACAAATGACAGTTCAGTGAATCTTAGCTGAGTAGTGAGGTTTGGTTCTTTTGCAGGGTAACGGAGGGTTCGGGATCCAGGAGCGGAGGAGAGCAACGTAGGAAGAACTTTGGGAATCGAGAGGCAAGTATAAACAGGTAAGTAGCATATAGAGAGTCTGGTTAAGTTTAGTGTAGTGGATGGTAGACAAGCACGCTCCTTCCAGTCACTCACCGTCCTATGAATGGTGCCTTGATAGCAGATGACAGGTGCAGGGAATCAGAACTCAGGTGATGGAGATAGTGTCTGAGAACAGGTGTGAGCTGGGGAGGATTCTAGGACATGGAGTCCAGAGCTGGTGATTGGCTGACATTACTCCCCCCTCCCGGAAGGCGCGTCCCGCACCGTAACATACCACCGGGGAGGGGGGACGGGCGCTCTGGAGGCTGGTGCAGGACTGGAACAGGGTGGAGATAAGGAGAGCCTCCAGAGTGGATCAGGGAGCTCCGGGAGCCATGGCGGAGCAGGCAGTTCAGGTAAGGGGGAGGGGTGGGCGCCCTGGAGGCTGGTGCAGGACTGGGACACGGGGAATACCTCCAGGGTGGATCAGGCAGTCCAGGGTACCATCGTGGCACAGGGAGCTCAAGGGCCATGGCGGAGCAGGGAGCTCGGGGAGCCATGGCAGAGCAGGGAGTTTGGGGCTCCATGGCGGAGCAGGCAGCTCAGAAGGCCATGGCGGATCAGACAGTTCAGGAGGCCACGGCGAAGCAGGGAACTCAGAAGGCCATGGCGGAGCAGACAGTTCAGAAGGCCATGGCGGAGTAGGGAATTCAGGAGGCCACGGCTGGACAGCCTCCGTGGCCATAGCCTCGCCACTCGGCCCGGCCACTACGGACGGACCCATACTACCCCCCAAAAAAAATCCTTGGGGAGAATATAGTCTTTAGAGGCCCTCCGTAGGCCTAACTCGGGAACAGTGGCCCTCCCTGGGCTTGACTTGGGGACTGGAACCCTTTCTGTGCTAAACTTGGGAACAAGAGCCCTCCGTGGGCTAAACTCGGGAACAGAAGCCGACTCTGGGCTGGATTCAGAGACTCGGAAGCGCTTACGAGGAGCCGACACTGGAGTGAGGCCATGGCGGAGCAGACAGTTCAAGAGGCCATGGCGGAACAGGGAGCTCGGGGAGCCTGTCCTCGGCACTCGGCCCAGCCTCCACGGATGGACCCCTACTACCCCCCCCAAAATCTTTGGGGAGAATATAGTCTTTAGAGGCCCTCCGTAGGCCTAACTCGGGAACAGTGGCCCTCCCTGGGCTTGACTTGGGGACTGGAACCCTTTCTGTGCTAAACTTGGGAACAAGAGCCCTCCGTGGGCTAAACTCGGGAACAGAAGCCGACTCTGGGCTGGATTCAGAGACTCGGAAGCGCTTACGAGGAGCCGACACTGGAGCGAGCTCTGGGAGCCGACACTGGAGCGAGCTCTGGGGCTGGAGCTGACCGCCTTCTCCGGCTCTTGAGTGAACCGCGGCCGGCGGGCTTGACTGAGGAACCGCCGGCGGGCTGGAGAGTGCCGCAGCTGGCGGGCTCGACTGAGGAACGGCTGGCGGACTTGACGGCAAGCTGGTTCTGGATTGGGGATGGACGCTCTCCAGACACCGGAGGATCCCTTCCCTCCAGCTCAGTCCAGTGGTGTCTGGGAGGTCCACAGGGCGATGGTAGTTGGCCCCGATCCAGACCAGAGAGTTGAGCGTCGTGTCGTCTAATGTCGTACTCGCGGCAATCCCGCAGAACTACCTAGCATACTCCACAAACGGGAGATCCAGGTGAGCTAGGGCGCCGAACCGCACGGCAACTTCCATTGGAGAAGCATTTTGTTTTAGGTCCGGTCTTCTGTCACAGATCAAGCTGGAGACAACAGGTAAGTTAATGAATAGCAGGTTTATTGATAGAAATGGCTGAGGCAGTTCAAATGGAGCAATGACTGGTGACTATCCAGCACAAATGACAGTTCAATGAATCTTAGCTTAGTAGTGGAGTTTGGGTCTTTTGCAGGGTAACGGATGGTTCGGGATCCAGGAGCGGAGGAGAGCAACGTAGGAAAAACTTCAGGGATCTAGAGGCAAGTATAAACCAGTAAGTAGCATATAGAGAGTCTGGTTAAGTTCAGTGTAGTGAACGGTAGACCAGACGGTGAGTGATTGGAAGGAGCGTGCTTATGAATGGTGCCTTGATAGCAGATGACAGGTGTGAGGAATCAGAACTCAGGTAATGGTGATCGTGACTGAGAACAGGTGTGAGCCGGGAAAGATTCTGGGGATATGATATGATATGATATGATATGATATGATATGATATAATAAGAAGTTGTTTTTTTCATCTAGCTGGTGCATATGTTCTTGTTTTTAAGTATGTGAATTTTTATTGTCATTGTGCATAAATCATCTGAAACACATTGGTTTGCTCGGGAATAAACAGCTCAGATTACATATTGGGATTAATTGCAATCCGAGGCCTCATCCCTGGTATGTTTTCCCTGAATTAAGCACTGAAAATCCCACTCATATTAGATTATGAGAACCATTTGGAGAATTCGTGCTTCATGCCATCCCTTTGTACTTGGAATGATGAAAGGGGCAAAAGAAGATTTAGCAGATTATTATTATTTATTATTATTTTATATTATTTATTTTTATATATATAACCCTTTATAATCTAAGTTGCATAGCTGTATTTAAAAATAATGCAATATTGACCTTAAAGCGAACTTTGGAAGTTTTCCATGCTTCTATTGGGCCGTTTCATTAAAAAAAAGAAACTCTTTTCTTACAGTTGGGAGGATAGAGTTGCCTAGTTCAATAGGATCAGTAGTCTGTCTGTCTGCTGAACAGACGTCTGTTAAGGTCTCATTGATGGTCTCCCATGGGAACGCCGCCGATTTTCAAGTGCACATACCCTTTTTGTTTGAGAGTCGAGCTCGCCACATTGTTTACAAGAATGCCACATTCTGTAAAAAATAGCAATACTTCATCTCTGTGTTATTCATTTGTATAGTTCACCGGAAATTACGTAATTACATTTTTGCAAGCATTATTCCTTTAGTTGCATAAGGACAAATACATATATTTTCCGTTTCCATTTTGAGAATAGTCCAAATTTTTGTAGTTTTGTGGTGTGGTAGTTTTTTAAATGTCTATATGGTTTATTCATTTTTATTTATGTAATATTGAAATTATTTCAGCTTTATTTCAGTTTTATTTTAATTTAGTATTTTAGTTGCAAACTATAGCTGAACTTAAAGGGATAGTTCACTCAAAAATGAAAATGAGCCCATCATTTACTCACCCTCAAGCCATCCTAGGCGTATATGACTTCCTTCTTTCAGATGAATCCAATCGGAGTTATATTAAAAATTGACTTTGATCTTCCAAGATGTTTAACCCTTTGAGCGGTACGGTCCCACATATGGGATTTTTATTTCCGTGCCCCTGGGAGTACATTCCCACATATGGGATTTAGAA